CAGTGCTGATGCCAAAAGGGTTCATTGTGAAGGGAGGGCACCGGAGATGCCGGCAGCCGAGGACAGCTGGTGAGGGTGGAGCTGGGTTTTCCACTGGCTGCCTGTTCCTGAATATACCTTGAGTTTTAAAGTCCCCAGGGACAGCGCCCCTTTAACGTGAGCCTCTTGTGTTCTCACCGAACCACCAAGTGCACACAAAGGTGAACAAGACACGTTCTTTCTGCTCTAGGGAGTTCCAAGTTTTGAGGGGGTGGCAGGTGACAGAGCTGACAAGTATAACATGGTGTGATGCCTGCTATTGCGGAGGGAAGGAAGGAGCTCCAGGAGGCCTGAGGATGGGTGTTTAACCCTTAAAGGTTGGATGGAGAGATGGCTTTCTGGATGGGAGCAGCAGGTAAGCCAACCCCTGAACGATAATGAGCATTCGTTTCATAAAGAGACAGGGTTAAGGGTGTGCATGGTGGCTCACGCCTGTAATCCCGGCACTTTGGGAGGCAGAGGCGGGTGGATCACTTAAGGTCAGGAGTTTCAGACCAGCCTGGCCAACATGGTGAAACCCTGTCTCTACTAAAAATACAAAAATTAGCTGGGCGTGGGGACAGGTGCCTGTAATCCCAGCTACTCACGAGGCTGAGGCAGGAGAATTGCTTGAACCCAAGAGGCGGAGGTTTCAGTGAGCTGAGATCATGCCGTTGCACTCCAACTTGGGCAACAAAGGTGAAACTTCATCTCAAAAAAAAAAAAAAAAAAGAGAGAGAGAGAGAGAGAGACAAGGTTAAGAGGAAAGGTTTGAGTTTGTTTTTTCTTTTTTTTTTTTTTTCAGACAGCGTTCACTCTGTCGCCCAGGCTAGAGGACAGTGGCATGATCTCAGCTCACCGCAACCTCCACCACCCAGGTTCAAGCGATTCTCCTACCTGAGCCTCCCGAATAGCTGGGATTACAGGCCTCTGCCACCGCGCACAGCTAATTTTTGTAGTTTTAGTAGAGATGGGGTTTCACCATTTTGGCCAGGCTGGTCTTGAACTCCTGACCTCATGATCCACCTGCCTCGGCCTCCAAAAGTGCTGGGATTATAGGGGCATGAGCCACCGTGCCTGGCCTAACCTTGCCCTGGGTGGAGACAGAGAAAGGCTCCCACAAAGGCTCCCATATGTAAACATCTAATTGTGTACATCAAATGAAAACAGTGCTCCAGGCAGAGGAACAGCTTTTGTGCAAAGGCCTGAAGGTGAGAAAACATACGGCAGTCTTTTTCTACTCCTTCTTGGTTCCTAGAAATCCAAGTGGCCACTATACACAGTGAAAGCATGCTGGCAGTAAGAAAGCAGCCTTGGGGCCAGGCATGGTGGCTCATGCCTGTAACTCCAGTGCTTTCAGGAGGCTGAAGTGGGAGGACTGCTTTGAGGCCAGGAATTTGAGACTAGCCTGGTCAACATGGCAGGACCCCTGTCTCTGCAAAAAAATTTAAAATTAGCTGGTGTGGTGGCGCACACCTGTAGTCGTAGCTACTGGGAAGGCTGAGGCGGGAGGATCGCTGGAGCCCAGGAGGAGTTCGAGGTTGTGGTGAGCTTGATCAGGCTCCTTGCACTCCAGCCTGGGTGAGAGAGTGAGACTCTGCCTCCAAAACTAAAAATTAAAAAAATTTGTCAAAAAAGAAAGTGGACTTGGGGATCCTATGATCTCCAATTCCTCCACTTACCAGTTGTGGGACTGTAGGCAAGCTGGTTTACCTCTCTAAGCCTCAGTTTCCTCACCTGTAAAATGGCCGTAACACCGCCTTCCTGGGGGATCATTACTATAAAAAGAGTGTCATGCAGGGAGCGCCAGCGTGGAGCCTCATGCTCAGCAGGTGCTTGGGGAATTATGTTCATTATCACCATCCTCAGCCTGACTTTCTGGTCCTTTCTGGATGGTGTCTTCAGAAAGGGACCAAGCTGATTCCTCCCCAGGAAGTCAGGGGTCATCATGGTCCTCAGGGAGGCAGGGAGAGTCAGTAGCCCTGGGGACTCAGCCTGTCCTCTGGCCATCTTACCCTGAGGCTCTTCTCCCTTCTTCTCAGGGAAGATTCCCAAGGGAACGGCCTTGGAGGAAGGGACCTGCCTGACCCACTGGGTCTCTGGGAGCCGACGTTCCCATGCCAAGCCAATCGCGTCGCATACATACGTACATAACCTTATTGAATCCATACAACTACTTCAGGATCCAGGTGATGATACTGAGGCTCAGAGAGGTAAAATGATTTGCCCAAGGTCATATAGCTGGGAGAGGTGGGACCAAGATTCAACTCTCAGCTATGGTTCGGAGTGACCAGGACATACAAGGGTGTTTAAAGCATAGTCAATAACAAACATGTACACGTGTTTGGTCTAACTACTTCACATATATTAACTCACTTAATCCTTCCCAACAACTTCAAGGGAGGTACTATGACTATGCCCATTTTATAGTAGATAAAACTGAGGCTCAGAGAGCATAAGTGACTTGGCCAAGGTACCTGGCAAGGCCCTTGAAGCCAGGCTCCTGCCACAGCCTGAGCCCTGACGACAGCTGTGTCCTCATCTCATGCATTCTCATTTACTGTTGCTGGCTTGTCCCTGACACAGGGCCTCTGCATTCGAAGTCCCCTCAGCCCGAGATGCCCTTTCCACTGATTTGCACACCCTGGCTCATTCTTACTTGAATTTCTGTCCCATTATCACCTCCTGAGGGAGGCCCTCCGGATCCACCCTAAAGCTCCATTCTCAAGCCACCCTGCTATGCCTCGTTCACAGTTTAACACCTGTGGGGCATTTTGTTTACTGTGTGTCCCCCTCCAGGAACAGCAGCCTCTCTGAGTCATCTCTAAATCCCCAGCCCCTGGTCTATAAATATTTGCTAAGTGGGTAAAAGTGACCGAATTATGCAGTCACTTTCAGAGGAGGACCAGGGGCAACTTTCCACCTACCTAAAGTTCCACCTGCCTACTCTGGTCTAACATCAGAACCTCCTCTCTGACCCTCTCCATCTCCCTTGGGTTATGAAATCTGAGCTCTGGGCAGCAAGAAGGGAAGCCGCTGCAGCTACATCTAGGAAGGTTACAGAGCAGGAACACAGCATCTCTCATCCCCGTGGGAGGCTGGACCCAGGAAACTGACAAGACTCCCAGCATGCTCTGCAGCCCTTCCTCCGTGTCAAACCCACAACCGGGCGGAATTCCCGAGTGTCCCGTGGGCTGCCGGAGAGCCCACCCCTCCAGCGGGGATCCCAGCCACAGAGAATGCCCACTGACATCCATCCAGATTCAAAGCAGTGGGAGGCTAGGAAAGGGCACGTGAGAAATAATAAAACCAGGGAAGATCCAAGCAAGCAAGAGCTAGAGGAATCCCTCCTTTCTCTCTCACATTAGTCTTCGGATTGAAGTGCATAAAACTTTTTAAGTAAAATATTCAACAGAGTTCAAAATGAACATATAAAAACGTTTACATAGAAAAAGCTCACCCTCCCTTCATCCTTTCCACTCCCCCCCGCAACCCCCACCAAGTATATATTAGTACTTCCTGGTGGATTCTTCCAGTTTGCAAATATAGCAATTACAAATGTATACTCTTATTTTCCCCTCTTTTTACATTTTCTATTTCCTTTTACTTTGCAGCTCCAGCTCAAAGGATCCTTTTTTAAAAAACAGATAAAAGGGTACCATATTATATATGCTGAGCCACACCTTTTACTTCTCTAGTTGGATATAATTCTATATTTCTACACACACACAGATACAGATATAGATGTATAAGTGCATGCATACACACAGCAGTTATTAATGGTTTTCTCCAATTTTCATCCAGTTCTCCTGGAAAGGGGTATTTAGATTGGGGGGTCAAGAGGGGTTGCTTTTCAGCTGACACACAAACAGCTGGGCCACCCTCTCTTGGTGATCAATACTGGACGCTGGTTCTCTGCACTTGAAGCAGATGCCAGGAGCTAGCTCTTTCCCAAAATATCTGCAGCTCCCATTTCCTCAGCGTCTACCAGGTACTAGGAGAACTCTTACAACAGAGAAGGAAAGCTGAGAATCAGAGAGGTAAAGTGACTAGCCCAAGGTCACACAGCCAGGAAGTGGAGCTGGCAGGGTTCACAGCCAGTCTGTCCCTCGCCAAAGTCGGTTTGTCCCCACAGCTGGCCCCCGCCGTCTCCAGTCCCCACCCTGGTCCACAGTCGGAGGCAGAACCGGCCACGCCGAGGTCAGGACCCAGGGCCAAGTCCCCAGCCCGGCTGAACTCGGCGGACAAGCGCTTTCTCCGCCATTTCCCTGCGGGCAGCTCGGCCCGGCCTCCCAGGGCGCCCCGCCCCCGGGCCGATGCCGGGTGCGCAGCCTTTGCTGGCCCCGGGAGACCCAGCGAACTCAGGCGAGGACGCCAGGCTCCGGGCAAAGTGCTCTGCGGCCGCTGCCCAGCTAAAGCCTCCCAGCCACCCGCGGGGATGAGGCCGCCTGAACCCATTTTACAGATGCGAGGACGAAAGCAGGCGCGGAGAGCCGGCTGTCCTGCCTAAGGTCACCCGGCCGGGGAGCGTCGGAGCCCGGTTCCCACCCGGGTCCGCTGACTTCAAAACTTTCCGCTCCTGCGCTCCCGAATGCACACGACTCTCAGGTGCGGGGCGCGCGCACCAGCCGGGCTGCCTGAGGCGCTTGCCCGCCCGGCCCGAGGCACCTGCCCAACGCTTGGGAAGCCTGGGCCCCGCTCCCTCCCCGGTCCGCAGTCCCCCGGCCAGGGAGTTCCTGGGCCAGTCCGAGGCTGAGCGGCTGCGGCACTGAGCATCGTCGCGCAGGTCCTCGCCGCCACCGCTTGTCTCCTAGTCTGCGAAGTGGCCGGCGGGAACCCATTTGAAAGAGGAGGAGACTGAGGCGCAGAGAGGGCCCGCCACTGGCCCAAGGTCACACAGCGCGGCGGCGGGCCGGGGCCCCCAACAGCGGCCGTTCGGAGGTCCCGCCCCGGTCTCCGCGCCGCCCCCCGCAGGTACTCACAGCCGGTCTTGCCCTCGAGCTCCCGCACCTCCTCAGACGCGGAGTGGGCAGCGCCCATGGTGGCCGCGGCGGGGGCCCCGGGGCGCGCGTCCCTCTCAGGCCCCGCACTGGCCTTGGCTTCCCAGCGGCGGGACTGGCCGCGGGACTGGCCTCAGGGCTGGCCTCGGGTCGGGACGCCGGCGAAAGCTCGGAGCCGCGGGTTCCGCGTGGGGCTGGAGCGCGGCCTCTTATAACGGCGGAGGGCGGCGCGCCGCGGTCCTAGCGCACGCCGGTTTCGCGCACTGCGCGGCTGGGGGAGCGCCCAGCCCCCGCCAGGAAACCTCCGGGAAGGGGACCCTGGAGCCCACCGTTCTGGGTTCCCAGTCCGCGCAGCAGCGACCACGTACCTCGCCCCTTCCGCACCCCTGCTGGATCTGAAAGGAAACAGGTGTGAGCAAAGTTGGGGGCGTGGGTAGGAGGGGTGGGACCCCTGGGAGGTGTTATGCCCACTCCCAACCCATCCCACCTTACATCCTCCAGCTCTCAGGAGGGAAACTCCACCTAGATAGTCAAGGAAGAGAGCGAGCATGAATTAAATCTATGGAGAACAACAGTAATTATAATCCTATTTGAAAGTGCACCATGCACTTTCGTTTATTCCAGGAAAGCCCCAGCACCCTTCTGAGGTGAACACACCCACGTGGCAGCCCTTGTGGGCCCTGCAGAGCCCGGCAGCTGAGGGGCACCTCAAACTGCAGGAGCGGGCTGGGCGCGGTGGCTCATGCCTGTAATCCCAGCACTTTGGGAGGCCAAGGCGGGCGGATCACTTGAGCTCATGAGTTGGAGACCAGCCTGGCCAACACGGTGAAACCCCGTCTCTACTAAAAACACAAAAATTAGCCAGGCTCGGTGGCACATGCCTGTAATCCCAGCTACTCCGGAGGCTAAGGCAGGAGAATCACTTGCACCTGGAAGGCAGAGGTTGCAGTGAACTGAGATCTCACCACTGCACTCCAGCCTGGGCAACGGAGCAAGACTGTCTCAAAAAAACAAAACAAAACAAAACAAAACAAAACAAAAAACTGCAGAAGCGGGCCCAGAAGGCTGCATTTGGGACAAACTGCTGGTGAGAGGGGAATGCTGGTGGTCCCCACGCCCATTAGGGAAGTTCTGGGTTAAGATGGCTTAAGGGGTTGGCTCTCCATCCAGGTGGGGTGACTGGGGCCGATGCTGTTGCTTGTGTAACATGATTCCTCCTCCTTAAAATAAGGATAAGTTAATGAGATGTCCACCAAAGGGCCTGGCATGGACACAGCACATGGCCAGAGAGGCTGGTGGGCACTGTGGAATCTTGTCCCCTGGAGAGGCACACAGCCAGGGCAGAACATCAGGGTCAAGGCACTCCTGTTCTGAAGGTTCTAGTAACAGTGCTTAGTAACACCACCATCAATGACTGTCAGGTATCAGGTCTGTTCTGGACGTTAGGCTCTATGGTAAATGTTGGGGAGAAGGGGGACAGGGTAGGGGGCAGCAGTTTTTTGGTGCCCACAGAGGGGACTTGGGTGGACCTACCTCCATCAGTTTCACAGGCTGCTGGGACGGGGGCTGCTGAGAACTGCTGTTCATTCCTGCAGACTACAGGCTTAAGCCAAGGGTCACAGCCCTTTCCAGGGGCAGGAGGTGTCTTTCAGAGCCCGAGGTAGAGGGTGGGGGTTGGTCCTAAAACCTCCTAGAGCAGCAGAATCAGCCCCTTTCTAGTTGCAAATCCAGCTTTTGGCCAGGTGCAGTGGTTCCTGTCTGTAATCTCACCACTTTGGGAGGCTGAGACAGGAGGATTGAGCCCAGGAGTTTGAGACCAGCCTGGGCAACATAGCAAGACCCCGGCTTTACCAAAAATTAAAACTTTTTAAAAATGAGCTGGGCACAATGGTGTGTGCCTGAAGTCCCAGCTACTTGGGAGGATGAGGCAGGAGGATCGCTTGAGCCCAGTAGTTAGAGGCTGCAGTGAGCTATGATTGCACCACTGCACTCCAGCCCAGGCAACAAAGCGAGACCCTGTCTCTAAAACGGAAAATCCAGCTTCCCCTTACACTGCCTGTCTGCAGCTAAGGCAGCACCTGCAATCTGCATTTTAAAGCACTCTCCAGAGGGCAGTGCAAGACCTGATCAAGGTGGAAAGAGTTGGCTGTGGGGCATCAACTGGTCTGAGCTGGCTGGACAGCTGATCTAGGGACTGCATTTCGGGTTAGAAGGATTCTGGAAACAGGCCTCTGGGATCAGGAAAAGGAGCCTCAGTACTCCCTGAAAGTTCTGAGCCTCTGAGCCAGCCCATTACTTACAGCTGCTGGGAGCAATTTTATTCCAACTTAAAATGTCAGTTCCTGGAATTTTATTATATTAAACTAGTCAAGGATTAAATGATGGAGCTGTCTGATGTAGGGGATAGGAAATGGCATTCTCTGGACATCAGCCCCTCCTGCTTGGCACAGTTGCTCCAGTGGGGACAAAAGCCCTGGGACAAGGAGAGGGGCACATGGCTTCACACTGTCCCTTGGTAATCTTGAGGAAGCTCCTGGTATCTAGGATGAAGGGAGCCTGTCCTACCAGATCACCTGTCTACGCTGACCCACTGACTGCTGTTAGCTACTAGACAAGCACTTGTACTTGTTCCTTTTGCCTGAAACTCTCTTCCACTCCTGCTTCCTCTTCAGACCTCAGTGGAAACTCACATCCTCAGGGAGGCCTTCTCAAAGTCCTCATCCCCTCTCCTGGGTCCACAGCCAAACAAGCCACCATCACCAGGCAGCAAGGAGCTGGGAAGGAGGAAGTCTTGCGAGGATGACACAGGAGGATTTATTCCTAATTGCAGGGCTCGGAGAAGTAATCAGGAGATCCTTGGAGCAGCACGAAGGCAGAAAAAACCAAGGCACAATTTATGCATTCGTTCAATCATTTATTCATTGCACATTTATTGAGCACCTACTATGTTCAGGGCTCTGGCTGGGTCCTGGAGCCACAGCCAGGAATAAGATGTCACCTTCACTCCTGAGGAACTCCTGGTGGGGTGAGGAGACAGACATAGGGGCAGTAACAAAGCTGATGGGTAAACAAGGGTTGATGTGATGGAGCCCACAGAGATGGAATGTTCAAACCAGAATGGGCCCCTGGAGAGACTCTGTCATCCCTAAAGCTGAGCTTCAGGAAGTCCAGGACTGTCCCCAACTGTGGTCCCGAAGGGATACAGCAAAGCCAAATTCTTGGTGGACAGATGTCTCTGCGTGGGCCTCTGCAGTGGCACCCACCATCTGCCCGGGCTCTGCCCTCCTCTGGCAATGATGCGCACATCGCAGGGCGCCCTCCACACAAAGCCAGCTGCTGCCTGTTCCAGGATGTCATGGCTTTCATTCAAATCTACCAGTGGCTCTGCAGGCGTCAACAAAGCAAGAAGCAAGAATGAGGTCTGCAGCTTTGCATGGGGTCTGGCCAGGGCTCAATGGATTTTTTTGTCTAGAGCCCTGGAAGAGGGGCACCCCGTGGGGGGCAAGCTTTATCCCCCACAATAACACAGCATGACTTTTGGAGCACTGGGAAACACTTTAGTCACCAGGCAACTGCATCTTTTCTCCCAGAGGACCTCCTCCCGGAGGAGCTGATTAAAAGTGGTGGCTGCAATTCATATAGCTGGTCCTTGTGAAGCCACAAAGGGCAGCTGAGCCCAGAGATAGCCAAGACGGTCTTCACTTGACTCTCCCACCTTCCTGTCAAAGAGGGCTATGAAACCATACTTGGGCAAGTTAACCTCTCTCATCCTCAGTTTCCCCATCTGCAAAGTGGCAATAACATTGTGAGGGTTAAATGCAGATTCATATACGTAAGGTGATTCATATATGGAAGGTGATTGTGAAGGTCAAATGCAGATTGATATATGTAACATTGTAAGGGTTAAATGCAGATTCATATACGGAAGGTGCTTAATACTGCCTGACACAGTACGTGCGAGCCAGTGGTGAGCTGGTAAACAAGTTCTCTGAAAAGGGCAGGAGGGGAGGAAGTCCTAATCTGCAGCAGTTGCCAATTTCTGTGTGTAAATACTCCTACCATAGTCAATTTCAAGTTACTGATAATTTAACAATAGGCTTGCAAAATCTCTGAATTTTGTTTTTTAGATACGTGGTCTCACTATGTTGCTCAGGCTAGCGTCGAACTCCTGGGCTCAGAGGATCCTCCTGCTTCAGCTTTCCAGGTAGCTGCGAATACAGGCATGCGCCACCATGCCCGGCTTAAAATCCCTGAATATTTAACCATTTGCTCTTGCAAGTCAGTCAAGACCAGGAAACTACTACCCAGTTGACTGCCATATGTTCGTTTACTTGTTCATGCATTCACTATTGAGTGCCAGGAGTTTGGACACTACAGTGAAGGAGACAGTCCCTGACCTCAGGGATCCCAAAGTCTGCAAGGAAAGAGATGTGAACAGAACATCATGGTGTGCTAGCTGGTACCAGTCGCTGCAGGGGCCTGGAGGAGAGGCACCCAGCATATCCCCATTTTATTGATAGAAAAACCAAGATGTTCCCAAAGGATTATAAACCAGAATCAGAGCATAGACTTGAAGGTGTCTGAAGAGCAGTCTCTGTAATTCACCTGTCCCTTCTAATGGTTTGGCTTGGAGCAACTCCCAAGGCATGGTAATGTTCCAGGAGCAACATGACATTTTTCTTAGCATTTGGGCCACTGACCAAGAGATCTATGGGGACTCCAAGTACCATTGAGACCTCCTTTGCAAAAATTATAGCAGAAAGTTATGACACTGAGAGAGATTTGATCTCACCAACCCTCATCTTGCCTCGAACCTCCAAAATGCCCTTGGTCGTTCCTGGGCTTGAGCCAAGCTAACTTTGGGATAAATTTAATTTATAGTTTAAATTATAATAGCCCTTCCCCAAAACTAAGCCACCTTCATAAAACTAATGAAAAGCTACCAGGTAGCCGGGCACAGTGGCTTAAGCTTGAAATCCCAGCACTTTGAGAGGCTGAAGTGGGAGGATCGCTTGAGCCAGGAGTTCAAGACTAGCCTGGGCAACATAGTGAGATCCTGCCTCTACAAAAAAATAAAAAATTAGTTGTGCATGATGGCACGTGCCTTTGGTCCCAGCTACTCAGGAGACTGAAGTGAGAGGATCACTTGAGCCCAGGAGTTTTAAGCTGCAGTGAGCCATGATCACACCACTGTGTTCCTGCCTGGGGGACAGAGTAAGAATCTGTCTCTTTAAAAAAATGAAAAGGAGGCCGGGGGCAAGCTGTAATCCAGCATTGGAGGCGAGGCAGGGATCACGAGGTCAGAGATCGAGACACCTGGCAACATGTGAAACCCGTCTCTAAAAATACAAAAACTAGCCGGGTGGCGGCGCCTGAGTTCAGCACTGGAGCTAGCGGAGAATGGCGAACCGGAGGGACTGCAGTGAGCGAACACCTGGAGAACAGCGATACCGTCCAAAAAAAAAAAAAAAAAAAAGAAAAGGAAAGGACACCAGGTTAGGAGGATGAGAGGGGCCTGAATTCCACTAAGACGCAGGCGTAGTTAAATGACAACCAGCCGTTATTCCAGAGGACACAAGATTTGCAACTGCCCCAATTCACTATTGTGGAACCTAAGATTAGCCTTTTGAGATGTCTTTTCCTGCATTTCTGACGACCGGATGGTCCCACCCAGACCCTCAACTCTTGGCTCAGCCTGTCCTATGGCCCCCACCCAGAAGTGGACTCGGTGCACAAGGACCATTTTCCACATCCCTATGACTGCATCCCCAACCAATCAGCAGCCCCCGTTCCCCTAGCCCCCTGCCTGCCAAACTATCCTTTAAAAACCCTAGCCTCCAAATTTTTCAGATTGATTTGATTTGACACAGGATGGCCAGCTTCGTGTCAATTAAGCTCTTTCTTTATTGCAATGCCGTCATCTCAGTGAATTGGTTTTTGCCTGTGCAGCGGGCAGGAGGAACTCATCAGGTGGTTACATCATCTTGCTTGGCCTCTTAGTGAAGACTGCACCTAAACCACATCAAACAAGCAATGTGTGGTGATGCTCTCATAAAATAGGTCCAGGGAGCAGGAGACCGCACAGGTGGCCCGCGTCAGTGATTTGGCTCTAACACAGATGCTTTTTCTCATAAGATCATTCAGGCTCCTTAGGTTGGTTTCATGTGTCTCTTGGTTTTCGTATCAATGGGATCAGAGATTCATCCGCAATTTGCATTTTGAAATTAAAGTTATCGTTTTGATTTTCTTTTGAACAATCTTTTCTGCCCTGAGGCACCCTCATCTTCCCCTGTAGCCGTGGGCATGCTATAGGAAATAGATTCAGATCTGAGTTGAATCCTGACTGCCCGCTCTCTGGCTGTGTACCATTGGGTTGGTTACGTTGCAACTGCAAACCTCAATGTCTTCATCGGTATAAGAGGCCTCACAATCCCATCACTGAAGAGTCGGAACAAGGGTGAAATGGCTGGCATAGAGCACACCCTTCCCAACTGTCTGTTCCTTTTTTTTTGGTGGGGGGTAGTTGAATATCAAGGACTTTATAGCCAGCCTGACTCTTCTGTCTCTTCTAGCCTCCCGTCCCTCCCAGCCCCGTGACTCCCAGTGCGACACATCAGTGAAACTCACGCTCAAATCTCTGTCCGGCTCCCAGTTCTTACAGAATCAGGTTTCGTCTTGGGAGAATGATCACAGCAAGGGGGTTTTAGAATAGCTCCTTCTCTTCATTCTCTGAGAGCTTTAAACTCAACCTTAAGTTAGCAAATCACTCCTTGCCCCTTCCTGGGTGGCACAATCACTGCTGTCACCAACATCGTTGCCTCAGCCCGTGGCTGGAGCTGAGTGGCCTAGACCTCAGAGGGACGCTGCCCCATAGGGGGGCAGGCTGGCTGCCTAAAAATAGGAGAAGGAGACTAGGGCTCTTGGGGAGGGCAGCTTGAACTTGTTTTCCTATTATTTATATAATTATAAATAGTGACCAATTACCAGAACTTGCAGGGGGCAGATGGACTGTTGTCCCTGGATGGGCTTCAAACTCTGCATTATTGTCCAAGAAACAAAGTTACCAACCAGAAAGAGGTGGCAAGGGCCCCACATCTATTTTCACTTCACCCTTACTTTACCTCGAGCCTGGTGGGGGAAGCTGGGCAGGGGCCAGAGGGGTGGGAGCTGCCGAAGAAGACAGGAATACTCAGCATTTGGAAGGCTCTGCTAGGACCTCTTCTCAGGTAGAAATGCAACAGCCCCGGGTACAGATGCTTTTGTTTCTTCATTTGTGATTTGGGGAGAGGCATCTTACGCCATTAGACCGGACCGTGTGGCAGGCAGAACAGTGGCCCCCAAAGACGCCCACGTCCTAATCCCTGGAACCTGTGAATATGTTAGGTTATATGGCAAGAGGGAATAAAAGGAGCAGATGGAATGAAGGTTGCTAATCAGCTGACCCTGAGATGGGGGAGATTACCCTGGATTATCTGGGTGGGCCCAATGTAATCACAAGAGTCCTTATACGTGAAAGAGGAAGGCAGGCTGGGCTCGGTGACTTGCACCTGTAATTCCAACACTTTGGGGGACTGAGGAGGGCAGATGGGTTGAGTCCAGGAGTTTGAGACCAACCTGGGCAACATGGTGAAACCCCGTATGTATAAAAAATTCAAAACAATTAGCCGGGCATTGGTAGTGCTTGCCTGTCATCCCAGCTACTCAGGAGGCTGAGGTGAGAGGATCACCTAAGTCTGGGAGGCGGAGGCTGCAGTAAGCAATAATCATGCCAGTGCACTCCAGTCTGGGTGACAGAGTGAGACCCTGGCTCAAAACAGAACCAAACCAAACCAAAGAGGAAGGCAGGAGGGTCAGAGTCAAGAGTGACATGATATGAGAAAGACTCAATCGGCCATTGCTGTTTGAAGATGGAGGAAGGGCACCAAGAAAGATAGGCAGGCTCTAAACACTGGAAAATGCAAGAAAACACATTTTCCTCTAGAGCCTCTGGAAGGAACACAGCTCCCTGACACCTTGATCTTAGCCCAGCAAGACCCATTTTGGACTTCTGACCTCCAGAACCGTAAGATCATCTTTTTTTTTTTTTTTTTTGAGACAGAATCTCACTGTCCCCCAGGCTGGAGTGCAGTGGTGCAATCTTGGCTCGCTGCAACCTTTGCCTCCCAGGCTCAAGCAATTCTCCTGCCTCAGCCTCCCAAGTAGCTGGGATTACAGGCAGGCACCACCGTACCCAGCTAATTTTTGTATTTTTAGTAGAGACAGGGTTTCACCCTGTTGCCCAGGCTGGTCTTGAACGCCTGACCTCAGGTGATCCACCTGCCTCGGCCTCCCAAAGTGCTGAGATTACAGGCGTGAGTTTTGTTTTTATAAGCTACTGACTTGGTATAATAATTTGTTGCAGCAGCAACAGGAAATGAATACACACACTGGGTTTGCACTTGGATACAGTGCCAAGGAGACAGCGTTGACCAGACTGTCTTTCTACAAGGATGATTTTTTTTTTCTTGAGACAGGGTCTTACTCTGTTGTCCTGGCTGGAGTGCAGTGCCATGATCACAGCTCCCTGTAGCCTCAAACTCCTGGGCTCAAGCAATCCTCCTGTCCCAGTCTCCTGAGTAGCTGGGATTACAGGCGCAC